ACCGACGCCCCTCTTCAGTCCCTCCAGAACGTGACGGCAATGCACAAAGGAACTACAGAGGAGAGCCACCGTTTCGTTGAATATTCAGGGCTTTGCCGCCCCGTCATCTGTTCCTTTGGTCGTTTCCCCAAAAGACGGCGATATTTTTCCTGTCTCGTCCTTTAATAAATATGAGAGAGAAAGAAGGATAAAAATAGTAGGTTGCGCTTATGTAATTGGATAGGCAACGTAAAAGAGTGTTTTGGTTCAAAGAGTCTTATAATTAAGTTGGTTTTGGAATTTCGTGTCTTTTTAGGGTTCTGTACCTGAAAAATTGAACCTTTTTATATGGATTGCCAAGACCCTTTATCTCGGGGACGCGTGGAGGTATCGAGTTAAAATTAAAACCATATACAAAAAGATACGGCCGTTCATGCCACAAAAAAATGTATATTTTGACACTCTCAAGAACATTAAAATTTATAGTGTATTTTCCATGGACCTGGAACTATGAAGTTTGACAAGTAATACCATCTTAAGCTTGATTTTCATGCGTACGTTAGAGCGCTTTCAAACACGCCAGCAAAATCGGTGCCGGTGCCGGAGCTAAAATCGATTGCAATAAAAATAAATTAGCTCCTTCACATGTACTCCGATCCGGTAAAATAGTCGGGGACCGGCAAATACAATAGAATTAAATACAACTGTCGGAACGTGGTAGTAACAGACTGCGTAATTCTCTAACCAGTCGAAGTCTTCAAATTCAACCAATAAAATTAATATCGTATCGTCGGATAACGGATGCATGAAAATCAAGCTTTATACTATAAGTATAGGGAAAAATCTTTTTAAATATGCAGGATTTTTGTCAAAGTTGAGAGAAAAATAGAAATGTTATATTATTTCTCATACAAAATCAACTAATTCGACTTCGGCAATGCTTTTTCTGCGTGTAGTAACAGTTGGTTTGGAGTTTGTTCCGGAATTTGGCCTGGAATAGGCTGCGGTTCGGCCCATCGAACTAACACGACAAATTCCGAAATGCTTTTGGTTTCTGGTCTGCATGTATATCTCCGTACGAGTGCATGTGCACTTGACCCAAAATATTTATTAGAGCCCAACTGCAATCGCGTTGATCTCGCAGAGCCTCCAGGAGTATGGTCTTGTGTTACTATTAGTAAAACTAATACAAATAATATCAAGAAAAAGCGAATGCCATTGCTTATAAAAAATATTCTTTTTTTTTCCATAGCAACTTTTAAAATTGCCTTATATCTATCAAGAATAGTAGATAAAATAGTACTTTAACTGCACTGGTAGATTAAAAGATACTTTAACAGCTAGGATAGGTTAAAAGCTTTATTTCTTCTCGCACGTTTTTTAGTTGCTTCCATTTTTGAAACTTTTTGTATTCCTTTTCATAAGTTATTCAGGATTTAAATGAAAGTAGTTTGGATATGGCGTTTGTCGCCTCAACCTGAATATCTATTGGTAATTTACTTATTTCGTTTTTGAGCCATTTCTGGCTACAATTCAATCAGCAATCGACACGAAAGAGAATTAAAAAATAATGAGTCAAAACTGACAACTAAAGAGACAGCTTTATTTATTTGTCAAACATAAAACCAACACCAACCCAGCACAATATTTTGTCTACTCGTAATAAATTCCTTGAAATAATAATTTCTGAATATTTTTTAAAACGTAACTCTCTTTGGAAAAAATTATTGTTTTATAACGACGATAAAATTGCATCTCTTGTATAAAAAATAAGTATTTTTTTGTTAAACGTCACAAAAATATTAGTTTTGGCGATGCGATTGACAATATAAAAAAGTCATTTTAACGCCTAGTTTACGCCTAAGCACAAAAGTACGAAAATATATTATTAAACTGACGTAAAGTGTCAAATTCAACGAGCCGTAACCATAGTTTCTCGATATAATTAGATACAGGGTATTGCTTCTAAATCCTTTTATATTATTTCGAACGTTTGAAATTGTTTAAAAAATTATTTGTAGCGTTTGAAAAGAAACAACATGTTCCATTCGCAGTAAAAATTACTTTTTGTGCCTCGACTATATGTCAAACGTCACAAAAAGCATCATTTTTACTCCTAATAAAACAATATACTACTAAAATTAGTTACTAGTTTAGAATATAATATCTAATATTATCTCTTTTTTTCTGTTACAATTTGTATAAAGAACAGTGTATCTTAAGACCCAGCATCTAATATATTGTTCTTTAATACAATTTATTCCTTATAAAACACGTTTTTCTTCTGCCAGTGTGAAAATTGCAAAATCCGCAAGCCTTTTACACGGCTTGAAGAAGCAGCTAAATACGTTTGGGATTCTTAAATTAGGTTTGGTTGAGGAAAGCAAACTTTCGTGGAGACCTAGGGGTATATGGAGGAAAACTGGGTGGATGTAGAGGAGTAGGGGTAAAAGAGGAGTAACGAAAATTCTCTCTAGTAACTTTATTTGACGCGAGAGATGTTTCAGTAATAGTAGGGAGAGGTAGATTCATCAGGACTGATTGTGCAAACCACATTGGGTAAGATTCGAGAATATTTTATGCGCTTCTAGCCAAAGAAACGGATAGTTTTTTTGTTAAAAAATCTGTTTGAATAATATATGAGTTTTTTGAACGAAAGATAACTTTGTTTTACTTTATTGTAATCCTTCTGTCTATGAAAATTGAACAATATAAATAGGAGTTCATTTAATTTGTTTTAAAGCCTCCATGTTAAAGCTAGGATTTTAGGAGTTGTTTCTTAGCTTCAATCTACTGAGACGTTCATTGAGGGGATAATGTCCTGTAAAAAGCCCCACGTTAAATATAGGTAGAGATATATCATTTATTAAATTAAGCTTTTGTTCAATATATTTTTATTCTAAAAACAAGACAGTGTCATAATTTTTACCCCATCATGGGTTTCTTTATCAAAATACAGATGTTCTTCCAATTTTTTTGAGTGTTAAAGGTCATCTGTGTCTAATAAGCCTTAACTAGCTTTAGGGAAACTCAAAAATAACTAAAACTCAGTCCAGAATTGGTCGTTTTTATGTAATTCGTCTAATTACCCCAAAAGGATACATTTTCTCGAATTTTGTCCATGTTATCGAGCCGAAGGGACATTCCTTTTTTTCTGTTATTGCGTGTTTGGGACCAGAAAACATTATGAAGGTCTACAGAAAGGAAATCGTCTATTTTTAGAATGTTATTTCTTTGTTTTAACTACCCAAATGAGCTGGTTTTATTATACAAATTGTAATTATTTTTATGTTCTTAACTAGACTTTATTCTTATGTCATACAATAAATAATAGTTATTTTTTATACAAGACGTGTATAAAACAATATTTTTTTCCATAGCGAGTTGCGATTTAAAAAATATTCAGAAATTATGATTTCAAGGAATTTATTACGAGTAGGAAAAATATTATGCTGGGTTGGCGTCGGTTTCTATGTAATTTGACAAATAAATAAAGCTGTCTCTTTAGTTGTCAGTTTTGAGTCAATATTTTTTAAGTCTCTTTAGTGTCGATTGCTGATTGAATTGGAGCCAGAAATGACTCGAAACGAAATAAGTAAATTACCAACAGATATTCAGGCTGAGGCGACAAACGCCATATCCAAACTACTTCCATTTAAATCCCGAATAACTTATGAAAAGGAATACATATATTTTCAAAAATTAAAAAACGTGCGAGAGTTAAAGTATCATTTAATCTACCCTTGAGGTTAAAGTAATATTTTATGTACTATTTTTGATAGATATAAGGCAATTTTAACAGTTGCTATAGAAAAAAAGTCTTTTTTTATGAGGTACATGTTTAATCAATCCCTTGGTGACTATGCTGTCACACTGACACAAGATATATTCTGTCGTTTCTGTCTTCACATTGACAGAAGTAACAATCCAATATATTCCTGAAAAATGATATCGAACGGACTATTAACGGGCACATCCCTACTACCCGTGAAGTACCCAATTCATTAAAAATTTGCTAAAATTACATACGGTACTCGAACGAGTATGACGAGCCCAGCTCTGGAAATTGCGGAACTTCGACAGCTGCGGTTTTTGAACCGGTTCGAGAGTTAAACTGGGGTGAAGTTGAAGTACCCGGCAACGGATTAATTAATTTGGAGATCGGTCGGTCGACAGCGCACGAAAACGACCGAATGCATAATTCATAGATGTACGATAACCACTTCTTCTTTTTTCTTTGTTTGTTTTGGGTCAAATCTCTGTAATCCATATCATTCGTTACTACTTCATTTCATTCATTTTTATTTAATATATAACTTATAGTCTGGAAGCTAGTAGCCCACATATAAGTGAAATTACTGAAAAATGAACTTTCTGAGAAGAAAAAAGCATCCCAATAGTTTCCCAATCATGGAAAAATTTCTTTATTCTCAGTTGGTAACAGAGCCAATTTTGAATTATTCTGTAAAACTATGATAAATTTGGAGGACATTCGTGATATATCATTATTTTGTATAACTATCTGCATCAAAATATAGATTGAAAGTTCAAATTTAATATATGTAACAAATAATGGCCACAAATACAATTACAATAATTATGCAGTGTAAATTAAGTTTTTAAATGAAGAAAAAACAAATAAAACTTATTTTCTCTGTTAAAATTCGTTTTAATATATAATACCAGAGAGGCTGAAAGCGGATTATAGTGTCAGAAATTTGTTGCATGCGTATTGTTGCGTTTTGTATTGCTGTGAAGAAAATTAAAATAGCCACAGGTCATCAGAACATCTACAAAAGCACCACAGACGTCGTATTCTCTCCTCCCTTTATTACCTTGTGTTAACGTTGCCGTATATTAAAAAATTTACGCTTTTTTTGTACCACACGGCGTTCATTGTTCCAGCTTAGAAAAAATGAGACAATAAGCGCCGAGATTCACGCATAAACATTATTACTTTTGAAGAATAATTAAAATATTTATGATGCGATTTTACTATACCTTTTTTTCTTTGTTTCCAGGTGAAAAGCCGTACAACTGCTCGTGGGAAGGCTGCGAATGGCGCTTCGCCCGGAGCGACGAACTGACCAGACACTACCGCAAGCATACCGGCGCCAAACCGTTCAAGTGCCGCCACTGCGAGCGCTGCTTCAGCCGGTCCGACCACCTGGCGCTACACATGAAGCGCCACGCCTCGGGGTGACCGTGTTAAAGGCGGCCACTTAAAGGGCGACCCCGTCACCCGCCGTGACCGATCACCGTAATACCAAAGACGCCGCCAAAACTTGGGAGAGAGAGGCAAAAAACGAGTAAGGCTTTTTTAACATAAAAGGGCGACCGTGCTAAAAAAAGGGCGGCTATGTTAAATTTTAGAAAAAAGGGCGACTTTGTCAAAATTAAAGGGCGGCTGTGTTAAAATTATGATATTTTTCGATATTACATTTACCCGAAGGAAAAAAATGCGGTTTTGTTGAAAAAAAAAGGAGAATAGAGATTGTATGCCGCTCCCAAGTGCCAAAAACGATCGGAAGATGTGAGTCGGTCGCGGTATGACGGGCGACCCAGTTAAGAGGCGGTCTTCTATAGGTCAGGGTGGTTATTTCGACCCCCTCCACTGCCAGTTACCGCTAATATAATGTAAATATACAGAGTAAGATAGAAAATACATGTCACGAGATACGGGGCGGGCTTCCGAGACAAAGTATTAACTTTTGTACACGTTTTTTCCGTTTTTAGGACTAGTTCTAAGGACACCGGTCTTTCTGGCCCGACCCGTATACCGACTAATATAATTTTTCTTCGTTGGTTCTTTTAGTTATTTGACAGATTAATTTAATTTTAATTAAAAAAAACGTAGGTAAGGAGGTTAAGTAACGTTAGGAAAATATTGTAGAAGAGCTAGGGGAATATAACAGAACATTTTTTTACTATCTTTTGGAAAAGTGTTTTTGTTCATACTCTAGCTCCTGAAATAATGTTCAAACCTGTGATTATAGCGTGGAAGCAGTACAGAGAGCTATACATCTTCATAGAAAGGTATATAGGTAGTTCTCAGCTGTTGACACACATCGTTTAGATGCTGCGAAAAAACACGCAAAAAAACATATACAGGGCGTTTTACGATAAGTAATTTTTCGTGTTTTTTTCCTTAATTTCGTATACCGGGTGGAAAAAACTAAGAAATCGATTGATATTTAAAGTAATATACGGGGTTTTGAGACTGGTTTTTGTTATAGTAACATATCCAAATTAAATTAAAAAAGAGGTTTTTTGCCTTTCGAAGTTCTCCAACCGGTATATCACACGTTATGGTATAATGTAAAGATCGCCATATTTGATTTTTCGTATAAACTACTAGGAAATGGATGAAAGTTATTGAGATATAGTGCTAGATAGAATGATTTTTTTATTTTTTATTATGAAATGTCTCAACACGCTGCTTCTTATAGCTAACTAACATTGCTTTTGTTGCTTTTCGTCGTTTTTTTTTTTATTTTTCGAAGAAATTTCTTCTACATATCCACTACAGATGAAGAAAATTAATTTGTGCAATATACAGTGCGTATTCGAAAAGTAATAGAACCTAAACAGGGCATAAATTCATATTTGGGTGGTATTAACATTGATCTATTTAGTGGATCACACATAACTATACAGGGTGAGTTTTAATTAAGTGCAAATATTTTTAGGGATGGTATATTTTGAAAAAAAAACGATGTTGCAAATCGTGCATTTTCTTTTAAATTTTCCTGTATATTTTAGAAAACTTTTTAGAACTGCTGCAAACTTTCCCATGTTATAATTTCTTAATCTCTGATATTACCATCATGGTTACGCCACTGAAAGGGATGCAAATGCAGAAAAAAATCCTGTGGCTCTCAAGTTTTTTTTAAAAATAAATTATTTTTTTTAAATTTTGAAACATGAATAACTCGGTTATTTTGGACTTATTTGAAAAACGGTAAAGAGAAAATATATTTCTTTTATCGAGATCTACCAACTCTGAAAATACGTGCCCTTATTTAGAACTCACTCTAAATATTTAACATATGAAAAATTACTAAAAAAAGTACAGCAAAATTTTGATATTGTATTGGTGATCTGTAAGAAAATCTATAAGAAAAATTATATTTGAGAAATCCACCATATTATTTTGGGCATTAAAATTATTTTATATTTTTTCAAAGTACAACGGATGATAGTATCCTTAAATATAATTGAATTTAGATAAATTAAGAATCTATATAGATTATAGCATTATATTTATCAAGATATTTATTGTTTACCAGTTAAAAACTAATTTATATTTTATTTAGCTAAACAAAATATTAATAATTATTAAGGGACTTTTAGCTTAAGCTTAATAACATTAAATAATTATATTAGGTTAGGTAATAAGTTTTTTGTTGAACAAAAATAAAATAGAGAGAGATATATAGAGATATTTTATTGATTTTGTTATGTTTTTTGGATGAGTTTATATGATGAGATGAGGATGAGATATGTATAGATATGCTTTACGTTGACTGTTATCGAGATATATCGTGTAGGACTAAAAAAAGTTTGCAAGGAATTTAAATATGGCGATCTGAACTTAGGATTTAGCCTGGTTAGTTTTAGGAATTGGTAGATTTTAGCATTCTAGCTAGTACATTTGTGTCAAAAGTATTAAAAACTAATAAAGACTGTGCATATATAGGGCTGGCGAAAAACAGCGCCATAATTTCGATATTTTTTTTTAAGGATAATTTTACCTAACTAAGATATCCCTGTTTTTTTTTCTAAAAAAAAAGGAAAAATATAGGGGTATTTTAATGAAAAGTTCGGCAAAAGTATTAAGGAAAATGAACTAAATAAGTAGATTTATTTAAAAGAAATAATAGAAACGTATTCTTTTTAAGAAAGTGACCTTTGAGAGAATCAAGAAAATTTCAAAATGCAACGACTTAGGTATTGTACAGGTGCAATTTTTCTATTAATACACAACCGAAAATTCAAACCTTTTTGCATTTATAGCCTTTTTTAATACATATACAGGGGTTTTCAGGTGTAACTTGGTCATTAAAAGTTTTTTTTAAACTAACTTTGGTAAAAAATTGATCTTTCGAGTTAGAGTTATTTCCAAATCATGAAAAAATGGGCGTTTACATTAAAAAAAACCGACGAAGTAGGGAAAATCATTTTCTAAAATAGAAGAAACATAAATGTCTGAAAAATATGCATAAACTACAGGGTTATTCACCTTATTGTGAGTGATGGGATCATTAGAGGACTACTAAAGCTATAATTTAAAATTATTTTCAAAAGATACAGAGTGTCTTCCATGGGTATATTAATAAATGAGGTGCTAAATTATTAAAAAATGCACATTTTCTACGAAAACTTGAAGAGATAGGAAAAAAATATACCATGTATTCCACAATTTGATATACAATTAAATTGTGCATCTGAATACAGGGTGTTCCATTTAAATTAAAAAAGTTATTGCCGTTTAAAGCTAGTAATTATTTAATAAAAATTTTTAGCCACTGTGTATAAGGTAGTATACTTTTGATTATTGCAACACAAAATTTTGTGAGTACAGAAAATTCAGTACAATATTTGATTTTAAAAACTCAAATGCGCCTGGAGAAATGAAGCATTAAATTTGTTACTGCATTTTAACAAAATCGTAAATATTTTAAAAATGGTAAGATGAAAGTGCGGTAAGAGAAAGTGCGGTAAACCTTAATTAAATTCACCTTTATTTTATTCGTTGAAACTAAAAACGTAGTAATATACAGGGTATTCGATTTAAAAAAAGTACAACATTGATATTTTTTTTATTTGGGACACTCTGTACCTTTTGAAAATAATTTTAAATTGTAGCTTTGGTAGTCCTCCAACGATCGCATCGCTCACAATTGCTAAAAATCTAATCGTGTGGCTACAATGAGGTGAATAACCCTGCATATGCTAAAAAAACTTTTCATGAATTTGTTACGTTGAACAATCCTGTATCTTTCAGTTTGTTTTTTCAAAAGATAGATTTCTATATATTTACAGTTACAGTGAAGATTTAAAAATTAATAAAATTGACCCGAAATACACAGTAATAATAACAATTAACATGGCTGTAAGTCTCTAATATACAGGGTGTTAGATTTTCTAAGTAAATCCCTCATTTTTTAAAATTATTTGAAATTTGTGATCCTCTTAAGAAGAAAAATTTTCAGTGTAACTGTATATCAACTGGATGGATACTATAAGAACTTCTTTGATAAAATAAAGATAGCAAATCAAAAAATCTTGTTGATTATTACAGCTATATAGAGTTTAATTTTTTTAAAGATTGTGAATAAAAAATACACATATTTCCTGTGAATAAAAACACTGTTAAAGACGTACGAGCAAGAATCAAAATTATTTTATTTGTTTTAGCTGTATTTGTATATATTAATTAATTACATTCTTTTTGAAAATTATTTTGAAAAGAAATGAGTCAGATTTTTTTTTTATTTCAATATAACTTGTATACATTAACTAAAGTTTTAGCACTTTTTGAGAAATTATTTACTTTTAACGAAAGTGTTATGAGATTATTAGTTATCATGCAACAGTCAAAAAATGGCACTTTAGACACTTTTTGACATTCTTACAGGCAACTGTAGATAAATAATAGTATATTGTTTTATTAGGAGTAAAAATCATACTTTTTGACATACAGAAGAGGCACAAAAGGTCATTTTTACTCCGAATACACATGCTATTTTTTTTCAAACGCCACAAATAGTTTTTTAAACAATTTCAAACATTCCAAATAATATCCAAAATTTAATAGTAATACCTTCTGTAATTATATATCGAAAAACTATGGTTACGCTCGTTGAATTTGACACTTTATTTTTTATTTTATTATGTAAGTTTAATAACATACTTTCGTACTTTTTTGCTTAGACGTAAAAGTGCTTTACTTTTATGCCTAGGCATTAAAATGCCTTTTTATATTATCAGTCACATCGCAAAAATTAATAATTTTGTAACCGTTTGAAAAAAAATATATTTTAAACTGTCTTTTCTTTTTTATGTTGTGAGGTCAGGACTAAACCATTATTATTATATATTATCGTATATTACTGATTTATTTTGTGTTAACTTTAAAATAAAGTTATTACAAATAAATTTTTTGAATTAAACGAGCTTCAAACTCAAAAATAGATTTTTTTTAGTTTTTAGGATTGTTTTATGAAACTTTAGCTTTTGTATACAAGTTTGATTTTTTTTTTCTTAAAGTATCCATCCAAAGAGTAGTTCTTTCGAAATCATGCACATTCCTCTCGAGAAGCATTACCAGAATGCTTCGTACGAATAAAATAAAACCGCACACAATAAAAAAAATTAACAAACCAAAATAGAATACCTATCTATCAGAACCATAAAGTTTTTTTTCGTTCTCATTTCGTATTTGCTAAGATTAGTTAATGCCAAAAGCCATAACATACATGTGTAAGTATATAATGTGTAAAGTATATAAGGTAACGATGTAAAACAAAATAAACTATGTAATAAGAAATAGGAAAAAAATGTAAAAATCATTTTTGTACAGCAAAATGCATGCTTTATGTTGAATAATCGATAAGGACTTTTTAGAAATAGTTAGGTATATTAAGATAAATGTATGTCGTACCAAAGGATGGTACTTCAAATTTTCTATTAATTTAATATATTCCCAACAAAAAGAGCTCTTTTAGAGCCCCCACAGAGGCTCAGTTATTTGGCACAGTTTAACTGTGCAGGTCAGTTTGCGCAGTTTAATCTGTACTACAGTTTTAGCACATTTTTTGCAGAGAAATGTTTGTAATCCTGTCAACTGTTCTTCCTACTTTTTATTTTCTGTCAAAATCACAAGCTTTTTTATAATTCGATAATAAAATTGACATATAAGTGTTTATTGAAGAATATTAGACTAAACTTTGTCTATGGACTGAACGAAGACACACAATTTCATGTTTCAAAGTTTGCGCAGGCTAGATTCAAACAGATTTGTACAGACGGTCTTTGCGAAAAAACTGAGCGTCTGTGGCTACCTTTAAAATGAAATTTGACACAAAATCGACTATTTTTCATTACTAACTCACCAAAATCATAGTAAATAGAATGATTGAAGTACTGTACTTGGTACGATCGGTACTAAACATGAATGTAAACTGTACGAATGTGACATTATTGAGTGTTATATATAAATTGTTTGTTCTTCCGCATTTTTCAAAAACGAAGAAGAAGATTGGAGAAAAATAAATGAATAAATAGCTAATAATATTTTATGTGTAATTGTGTATATGTAATAATAATATTTCGTCAGAGTATATACAGGGCGTCCCTGGCTGAGCTGACATTGGAATTTCTAGAAAACTACCATATACGGGGTGAAAAAAAATAGTGCACCAAACTTTAGTAGGTGATTCTATACAAAAAAAAAATAAAACAAAGAGTTTGAACATATGCCCTAAGGGGCTGCCAAAAATAATATATTTTGTTTGTTTTGTAATTAGTGATGTAATGCAATAAGTGTTTGAATGTATTAAAACAGCTCACAAGATCTGTAAGGGCCGTAAACATTTTCAAGGGCTGTAACTTCCAGAGAGCCATTTTAGGGCATATGTTCATAGAAACTTTTTCTTTTATTCTTATTTGTAGTACCTTCCACTGAAGTTTGATACACTATTTTTATATACACCCTGTATAGATCGGTATAGAAAAAGGAATAAGAAATTGTAGATTTCTAGAGACCTCTAATGCAAGCTCAATTAGTGACCCCCTGTATAATTAATATATTGATACCATAGATTTTAAATATTTTATACTTTTTGCTGAATTTTTGGGGCGGATTGCGCCGATTTTTTACAAAGTTTTTCGTCTTTTTCAATGTTTCTCTTTCTTACAAATTTTTGGAAAAAAAATGATAAATATATTTATATTCGTAATATCTTTGTCTTTATCCCGTGCTATTTTTAATGTCGCCGCTGCTTATTGAGCCGTTTTTTCCTAAAAAAGTTCTTCCAATTTGAGTCGAGGAATAAATTGAAACACTCTGTATAATAGGGAATTGATTAGGTTTCCATATTTTTCTAAAGAATATTTTTGAATTGATTAGGTCGCGCACAACACAACACAAAAGTATATTTTCGGTAAAAATAATACGTTACAATAAATAATTTTTTCTGTATTTTTGGTCCTGAAAATTGAAATAGTAGTTAAATGCTTATTATAAGATTAAGCAATGTTCACAAGAGTAGTTAACCTAATAATAAAAATCGTAAAAAATACTGCACAGATGTATAAATAAATTTTTATTTTACAAGATTACTCTACTGAACACTGCTTAGTTCAATTTTTCAAGCAAAAACTATCAAGAACATTATTATACCTTTTATTTCGATTTTTCAAAATATGGTATACATCAAATTTGTTCAAAATATAACCCACCGAAAATATATTACCCTATATAGTTTATTGTTGTAGCAAATCAAAAAAAGTTTAGTTTTTGAACAATGTAAAGAAAGTTTTAGCACATTCAAATTTGTATCGCAACGATAGAGCAATATTTTGTACGAAAATTAGCTGTTTTTTTTTAATTTAGTTGCTCACATTTATTCTTTTTTTTTATAAAAAGACCTGGATAATTTTTAATGTATTTTTGAGTGATTTACTTCAAAAACAGATACCCAAACACAGCAAAGAACTTATTTCAGCTCCAGGCTTTGCGAAAAAACAAATTGCGTGGAATTTTTAATATTTTTTTTCGAATTTGTTTCTTACTTTTTATCTTATTTCATTTTTTCCTTTATTTTGTTTGTGTTTATTTTTTGTTTATTTTATTTTTTCAATTTTTAACATGTCTTATTTTTATGTTAAGTAGATTGAGTAGTATATTTACATTTTTCTGTAAAAAAAGGGAAAAAATATTAAAACACTCTTAACGCAATTTCTCCAAATCTTAATAATAAATAATTCATCAAAAGTGATACGGTTTAGCTAATGTAAATATTTTATTTGATTGAAAAAAAAAACAAATATTGAAATCTATATGTAACTATTCTATATTAATATAAACCATGATCGTGATCTGTTGGGAGGAATGAAACGAGTGGATTCCGAGGTACCATCTTCTGGTGGAGTACCCGTTAGACGGGAAATCAGAAGAATATGATTAGCGACAACGTTGCCGGTATGCAACCAATATTACATTGAATCCTAAGGATTTTCCTACTTAATTTCAACTGCTTGAAGTACACCAATCTAGTTTTTTGAGTATTGAATCGCGATAACAAGTTATATGTGAAGAAATAATCATTTTTTTCAAAATTTTATTGAAAAATATAAAGGAGTGTGTTAGGATTCGGTGTATTACTGGTTGCATACTACCTAACGTCACTCTAATCTCAACCTAATGTAATCAATTATTTTTCAAAAGTAATTGATTATCTTATTAACGAATCCTGATGGTTTTTCAATGCCTCCCGACGACAAAAAATTATATTTAATATATTTCTGT